TATACAGCAACATTGTACTTTTGTGGAGATTTTCTCCCATGTTTTAATAAAGGCATTTATTTCGAAGGCCTGTGACATACAGTTCCATTTAAGAGCAGGCTGATGATAGCATACCTACTGGAAGGTCTCAGATCCTTGTAAACCAGGAGTTTGGGGCCTACAATCTCAGCTGCTGATGAGCTGAAGGCCTGCTGGGTGCAGTGGCAGGGAGTAAAGGACTGAAGCTGTTGGTTGGTTTGAAAGCTGTTTTTATAGCTTTTTTTTTTTTTTCTTTTTTAAGGTGGAATCTGACTGGTGAAGTGCTCACCAAAAATAAGTATGATGTATCTAAAGAATTCAAAACTAATGAGTCATTCTTTCCAAAGCTTTGATTATTTTTTAAATAATACATTTAGGGCTTGTTTGCCTGCTTTTGAGCCTGAGGCCCTCATACTTTCAGACTTTTCATCTGCAAAGGCTGGAAATGTACTTTAAAAACAAGATTTGAGCTTCCCTTGCAGATATCTTGATTGCAGCAGCTGGGGCTTTATGAAACACTGGCTTGTGGAAGTGGGAGAGCTGGCAGCATTAAGAAGCTACGGAAAGGGCCTGAAATTATTGTGAAGTCTTATAGCTCAGAGAGATCAAATAACTATTCAAAAGGTTTTAAAAAGCCTGTGTCGTTCTGTGTGTGTGTGTGTGTGGGTGGTTTGTGTAGGGGGATGAGTTTGTTCACAGATCCTCAGTAAAGGACTGTGGAAATGTGGTGAGAGGATACCGGTGAGAATAATGTTTGTTGCCGATGTGTTGGGGATGAGGCTGTATATCGATGGATGAGCATCACAGAGGTGTGCAGGGATGGAGGCAGTAACTCCTTGCAGAGGCAGGTGCAGGGGTTTGGGAGGGAAGCTGCTACTTGTGCACCTGATGACTAGTTGCTTAAGCACATAAAAGTTGATAATCTACGCAGCAAAAATTCAACTTGCTGCAGACAAGAACTTCTTCAGCTTGGCTGCCAAAGCTTGAACTCCATGCAAGGTTGAAATTGCTTAAGTATGTCTTTCATGGCAAAAATGTTTGGCTTTTTTTTTTTTTTAATGATAGATGTCACAGTTTCAGTAAAATGTACCAGTAGATGGCGTGCAAAAATATGCGGCACCGCTCATAGGTTTTATTGGACAGATGCAAGTTCTGGACAGATTGCAGCTGACTTTGGGTACAAAGACACGTAAGAAGTGAGTTTAATGAGGAGGCTCCTGGTAAGGAGGGAGGATGTCCATGCAAGAGGAAAAAAAAAAAAGTGAGATTGATTCAATCTATTCTTCATGTGTTTTCAGAAACAGCTTTTCAACTGCTGCTGCTTGTTTTTCGACCAAGTCAAAGCATACACACTTCCACCAATGGTCATTTTCTCCCTTGGCTTCCCACTACAGTCTCCTCTTCTGCAATGCTGCCCAAAATACATGGTTAGGGTTTATCCTGGGGAGGAAAACACAGAGAGAAGCTTGTTTCTTTGCATTTTATTCAAATTTTACAAATATCAATGCTTTGGAAAGTTATGGTTTCATGGAACAGGGGCTGTTTGGCTTTCTTAATTTTAGTCAGTGGTATTTTTATTGCATATTGATCTGTTTAATCTTGTTTGATCTTCCTGCAGAACTGAAAATAGTCCCTCTGAAATAGTTTCTTGGTTTGTTTTTTTTTAATGTGTTGAGAAAATCAAGATGGTAGGTTTTGATAGCTGCCAGTTGATACTGCCCACCTGAAAAGGTAAATGCAGCACTTTGTGAATTTACTGCCAGTATCTCTTATTCCAATATAAAAAGGTTTGGAAACTGTTTCTAATTATAGGTGATCATGGTTGTGGTTGTCCTTACATATATGAAAATAGGTATATTTGGTAATATTAGTGATGCTCTGCTGCCTCCTCTGTAGTTCCCCAACAATGCTTTTGAGGTTGGAGGTGTTCCTCACCTGCTCCACAGAAAAAAATTATATAGTGTTATGAAGCAGAGTATGATATGGGTGTCAGATGACCTACAAGAAAGACTGGAGTTTGTTAGTGGTCTGATACACATTGAAAAACTTGAAGTCACTGATTAAATCCCCTACTAGCCAGTTTTTTTCAAGCATTTACAGTGACCAAACACTTTTGAAGATGCAGACTTCCAAAATCTCTGAGAAGCATCGTCCATTTCTGCTTTTATCTATTTATCATGGTTCACTGAAATACCCTAAAGGCATATGAGAATTTGCACAGATGAGATTTCTGTTACAAAGTTGTGATATAAGTGCGTCCATGCAAATGACCAAGAGAGAAAAGTCTGTTGGACAAAGGGCAGGAATATGCTGTGGTGCTTGTAGGCTTTCTAGCTTTAGCACAAACTACTGTGCATGGAGGTTCAGAATAGAAAATATGAAAATCTAGATTGTTGCTAGGTTCTAAGCCAGAGTTTTTCAGAAGTGGAAAAAGGAGTCTGCATGCACTGGAATTTTTTTTGCTTCCAGGAAAGTTAGACAGACAGAGCTTTCTCCTTCTATAAAAGCTTTGCAGTTATAACAGATTTGTCAATTAACAGAGGCCTTCTTAAAAGTTTTGCTAATATTTTAAGCTCATTGCTTCTCTATTTCAATTCTGCTTGTTATTTGCACAACTATCTTTATAAGTGGAAGGATATAAAATGAAATATCCTGTGATGGCTTTTTTTCCTATTAGGTTTATATATTTTATGTCTTGCTTGCATTTCTACAGTGTGCTGTCTTAATTAGAGCTCATTTGCAGCAGTCTGCATAAGTTGTCTGTTTCTCGTGACAGTGCTACAGTTTAACCCAAACCCAATAAAACCTTTTCATTATGCCATTCTTTCTTGATTTCTTGCTTTTATGTGTATGATGGCAATTTTTAGGTGAGATTACAGTTTGAAGATGTAGCATACACATAATTCACTTAATTAATTTATATTATGTTTCAGTACATTAAAATGGTCACATCTATTTTATTTTCTTGACAACTGAGTATTCTATGTCTGCTGGCAAAGTATGGTATCATCAAGTACATATGATGAAATGGAAATGGAAGATGCTGAATTCTGTTCTGTTGTATATTTTCCCCCATTTAAAACAAAGCATGTAAGTATCCATACTAGATGAAAGGTTAAATGACAACATTTTAATTTTTTATTACTCACTTGCCCTTTTGGCAGTGGAATTTAGTAGGAGTTAATGATCTGAGGTTTCCAGTGTAAAACATCATTCTAGTTCTACTCTCTTAATCTGTAATTTTTATTGAGATTCTTTTTTTTAAATAATTTAATATTTCTGAAAAGTAGCTGCTTTTTCTGTCAAACCAGGAACTTTTTGTGGGACACAAAAGCTAATTTTAGTGACTCAGATTATTTGAATCAAGATTTAGTGTGGTGTGTTATTTTTCTGTTTTGGGGGTTTTTTGTTTGTTTGTGTGTTTGGCTTTTTTTTTCTGGAACACAGTTCTGTGGAATGATGAAATAGGAAAAAATAAATCATCTTTTAGTAATTAGTGCTTTGTACAACAAACATTGTATTGATTTTATGTTTATCAAGGGTCAGTATTTATAATATGAACTAAGAATTATTTTTTTGTGTTTCCATTGAGAGTGATCTATTGCATGTCCATTAATGGCTCTACTGGGTGCCTTGAGACACTTATTTGGGAACCACCAGATAACATGTTATGTATGAAGGAAGATAAACAGTGCTGTTAAAAAACATCTAATTTGATGAAGTCTACCTAACTGAAATTTGAAATGAACTGCTTCTTAGTTATACCCAGTCTAACCAACATCCTCCAGATTTTATGGACCTTTCCTCCCCTCTCTTCCTTTTTAAAGGCAGCCAGTCAGCTCTTTGTGCCAAATAATACCTACCCAAAAGCATTTTGAACTCCTAGTAAACTACTTTACATATATACATAGCAGCAGATAAGGTTTCTGTAAGCAGGCCTGGGAACAATGTTCAGGACAGCAGTCTTAATTCCTGGAGAGCAATTCAGAGAAGCAGCCAAGCCAACAACAGCAGAAGGTGTAAAGTTAGAAAATTAATGCTCTGCTGTGATTTAAAATAGTTTGCAAGTATAATGATAACTGTTCCCTTGTCTTTGCAAGGATGCTTAGCTATATTTTGTCAGTCCCAGAGACTTACTCACCTCTAAAAATACTAGCTTCAGAGTTCATGTCTCTGTTCTTCTTTTGCTATCCTTTGGATTGATAAACCTGACTTTGGACAAGAGGATCAAAGTGAGCAGGTGGAATGGCATTTTTTAACAATTTCCGAGAATGGTTGGGATGAGTTTTAAGTTTTTCTTTCAGATTAGCCAGATTCAAAACTAGTTTATTGTCAAAGGTCCAAATCACCACTGTTATATTTAAAAGCCACCACTATGAAATTCTCTACAAGTTTAAAAAAGATGTGGATTTTTGCTTGTATTCTTACTACAAGTTCCTAACATTCTTCCTACTGAAAAGCAGGGTCTCCATTCTTCAGTGTCTCTCTCTGGGTTAAAAACCATCCTTGACTATATCTTGTATCAAATTCAATTTTTTTTCTCTGTTTTTGCCTTACTGCATGGTATATCACTTTGTGTCACATTTATTTTACCTATATAAATTTTTTCTTTCAAATTATCCTCTGTCCTCCCACACATTCTCTTCTACAATTTTCTAGAATATTATGAATACAAAGGTTAATTATCTAATAGTCAGATGCTGGTTTGACACAGATAAAGGAGTGTTCTCTCTGCTTTAGTCTAATGAAGAGTGAGGGAGAGAGGTTAGAAGACCTGGCTGGCAACAGAAGAATTTGGTTCAGAAGTTTCATTCTGAGATTCTCCTTTTTTTTTTTCTCCCCTTGAGCCACATATGTAGTCTGATAAGGGGAAATCCTGGCAGAAAAATGTGTTGCATGGTCTACCCTCTCTACAGTTTGAAGAAACAAACCATACTACGAGCCATGATTTCCACAAACTTTAGCATCCAGCTAAAGTCAGGTCATTGGGCAGGAACAGGACCGTCTGTGTGAGCTATCACAGAGGAGTGTGGTTATCCAAAGGGTTTAATCTTTGACCTCAACTGTGGTACAAACTGTAGCTTTCCCTCAATCCTGAGACCTGATAGACACCGTCAGGAGGGCTGACAGGGGCTTGATAAAGGGAAGCTCAAGAGCAGCTATAACAGCCTGTTGCTATGTTGCTGGTGCAACCTGTGCAAAGTCTGTGCAAACATTCTGTCAGCAGTGCTGGGCAGGGCAACCTCCTCCCACGCTGGGCTGAAGATTTAGGTGCTCTTACTAAAATGACTTGCATAGTAATTGTGTGCTGACTGTTGAAACCTGGAGAGCTGGCTCTCACCTCAACATTATTGTCTGCACTCCATTTGCCCTAGTACAGTGCATTTAGCTGGAATTAACATTGGCCAGTGTGTTAGTTTTCACCCTAGGCCTTCCTGGAGACCAGCTTGTAACCAGGAAGGAACTAGGAAGGTGACCAAGGAAGTATTCCGTGCTATTCCTTTCCGTAACACAACACATAAATAAGGTGTAGATAAGAGAGCTCACTCTCTTCTCTTCCCTTCCGGAGAGGTTTGAGAATGGTGGGTCCCTGTCTCGGTCCTGCTTATCTGGAGCTGAGGCCTACAGCGACTGCTGTTGTCTGGCACACATGAGGGGAGAGTGCTGGGCCGCGTTCAGCCATCCTGCTTCTCTCAAGGGAAGTGGTGAGATTTTGCCAGTTCTTTATTTTGCTGGTTTACTGGATTTTTAGGTTGTGCATAGCTGTTTTGCTTCTGTCCCTTTTCATCCTTTTTTTGTTCTTTTTTTCCCTCTTCCCTTCCCCTCTTCCCTTTTAGGAAGCTATTTGGGGTTTCTGGGGTTATAGGTATATAGTATTCTCACTGTATATATCTGTTTTATATGTGAAAGATATATTTTTTGCTATAACTTTGGCTGTTTGGTTTTTGGTTTTTTTTCTTCCCTCTTTGGGAAACAGGCTCTGTTGTTGAGTTTCGGAGACTTGGCGGGAAGCCAGCTCGAAACTTGCACAGCCAGCCTGATGTTTGCTCCTACGATGCACAAAGGGAAGGGATTGCAACCATTGTGTAAATGCTACACACGGTAGAGGTGTTAGATCTGGGTTAAGCAGCAGATTTGCCAGAATAAAGCTTTACTTCTCTTTTAGGATGATATATTCTTTAACAAGTTCAATAAATAACATTACATACAAGCTTGAAAACCTTACTTCAAGTGATAATATTTACCTAGTTAGTCAAAGATAACTTATATGCTGTGTAAATGGACTGTGATCAAAAATACAGTCATACTGTTAGGAGTAATCATAATTAATGATCTGCAGATAGACCATTATATTAATGACATAGAACAAAGGAATTGAGTGCATCCTCACCAAGTCTACACTTGACACCAAACTGAGTGGTGCAGTTGACACATCTGAAGGATGGGATGCCAGAGGGACCTGGACAAGCCTGAGAAGTGGGTCTGTAGGAATCTTATGCAGTTCAACAAGATCAAGTGCAAGGTGCTGCACCTGGGTTTGGGTAACCCCCAGAATCTTTACAGGCTGGAGATTGAACAGATCGAGAGCAGCCCTGCTGAGAAGGACTTGGAGTGAATGAGAAGCTGGACATGAGCTGGCAATGTGCACTTGCAGCCCAGAAAGCCAACCATATCCTGGGCTGCATTAAAAGAAGTGCATCTCTGTCCCTCTACTCTGCTCTTGTGAGACCCCATCTAGAGTACTGCGTCCAGGTCTGGAGCCCCCAGCACAGGAAGGACATTGACCTGTTGTAGCAAGCCCAGAGAAGGGCCACTAAGATGATTAGATTGTTCAGCCTCTGGAAAAGAGAAGGCTTTGAGGTGACCAAATTGCGTCCTTCCAGTACCTGAAGGGAGCTTATAAGAAAAATGAAGAGAGACTATTTACGAGAGCATGTAGTAACAGGACAAGGGGGAATGGTTTCAGACTAGAAGAGAATGGATTTAGTTTAGGTATTAGGAAGAAATGATTTACTGTGAGGGTGGTGAGGCACTGGAACAGGTTGCCCAGAGATGATGTGGATGTCCCATCCCTGCAAGTATTCAAGGCCAGGCTGAGTGGAGCTCTGAGCAACCTGGTCTAGTGAAAGGTGTTCCTTCACATAGCAGAGGGGTTGGAACTAGATAATCTTTAAAGTCCCTTCCAACCCAGGTCATTCTGTGGTTCTGTGATATGGATAAATGTTCAAATACAGGGAAAAAAAGTGAGAATGTTTACTTATGTAAACTCTGCATTTCCTGAAGATGACAATATCAATGAAAGGGATAGGTCTGGCCTACCTAAGGTGGGAGATTTCTAAATCTGATTCTTCCTTAATTAAAACCCCTTTGCTATTGCATTGACTGGTCCACTCAGCACCTCTCAGAAGCAGGTTGGGAATGTGTATAAGATGTTAATATTTTTATGAGAGGAGACCATTCTAGACCACAAATCCCATGAGGTAGATTTCTTCTCTAATTATCTTTTCTCTGAGGTACTTATTCCAACTATACTTCATGGTAGCATAAATTGTATTAATAATTTTATTAATTTAAATGGGAAATGGTTTCTCAAAGGTAGAAAGTAAAAGAGATAGAATCAGAAGAGGAAATGAAGGTTCCACCTTGATGCTAACACAGCTGATTTTGCAATGTCCTGCAGTTATGTATCCCTGTATGATGCCTGGGGTAAATGCACTTACTTTATTTCATACAAGGAATCATACTGACTTCAAATGGAAGCTAATGGTGAATAGTCCCTACAGTATTTTTAAACACCTTATTTATTTTAAGGAAAGCTTTCATTATAAATTGTGTTACAGTATTAAGATCTATATACCAAGTACTATTTTTTGCATGGTCTATGTGAGTGCTAATTGCTGCATTCTGCAGTCATAATATTTTTATCTTCATGGCCAAACTAAATCATAAAGAGGACATTGACAAACCAGCTATGGGAATTTGCTATGATTAAAGATAGTTAATACGTCAAAAGGGTCCAGGCTCCATTGTGTCCAGTGGTAGGTTACAAAATGATACCAAGCAGGGGACAACTCTCCCACCTCAAGGATTGCCTGGTGTCAACTGTGGTTAAAAGTTGAGGTCTAAAGTGACAAACATTGAATTGATAAATAAAGTGTTATTGACCAACTGAGATTAATCCCAGTTTATGAGCAAAAGAACTGCATTCATTTTGGTCAGCTGGTTCATCTCCACTGAGCATCATGTGCAGGACAGTGGTGCCAGGTGGTTATTGCAATGGCCTCTCATGTAGCTGGTTGTTGCTGCATGAAGTTATTACTGACTGACCAAATTGCTATGGAAATAGTGGTGGTTGGAGGGTTTGGCCGCCTGGGGTTTTGTAGTGATGGTCAAACACAAGGCGTAAGGTTGAATAAAGGAATTTGACATCTTCTGTCAGATTCTGGGAAATACATGTAAGGTGAGCCACGTTTGAAGGTGGAGAGACATGAGATACTGAATGAAGGGCATTTGTGGAAATGGCTACAGCAGGAGAATAAGTTTTGAACACAGGCCCAGAGCAGTTGTACTAGCCTAAAATCTGCCAAGAAATACAGGAACAAAAATCTCTTTGGGAGCAGCATCCCCTGCTTCTCCCCATCACGGCCAGAAAATATGACCCGAGTTCAGTGTGCCTGCAAACAGCTTCTACAGGAGAGGAGATGACCAGGATCAAGCAGCACTCACTGCAGGTCCCCTCTACTATGCAGGTTGGGAAATCTAAGACCCACCTATATTCCTGAGTTTATGCTTGGGTGCTTCATGGTGTCAACTTGCTTTAAAAATTGTACTCTTTCATACAAAAGATATTAGTATGATCATGTGTTGGAACCTCACAAGACACAGTGCAGAAATCTCACTCTAAATACCTGTGGGGGGTTCACCTGTAGAAAGGGACCTGCATCAATCACCTAGTCTAATACCTGACTAATTCAGGGCTGACCAAAAGTTAAAGCTTGTTGTTAAGGCCATTGTTCAAAAGCTTCTTGAACACCAACAGGCTTGGGGTAACAATCACCTCTCTGGGGAGTCTGATTCAGTATTTGATCATTCTCTTAGTAAAGAAATGCTTCCTAATGTCAATTCTACACCTTCCCTGGTGCAGCTTTGAAAACCATTTCCATGTGTCCTGTCCCTTGATACTGGGGAGGAGAGGTCAGCACCCCCCTCTCCAAACTAGACAAGCCCAAAGTCCTTAACTGCTCATCATAGAACATTCCTTCCAGCTTCTCACCAGCTTTGTTGTCGTTCTCTGGACACATTCAAAGACCTTCACATCTTTCCTAAATTGTGGGACCCAGGACTGCCCACAGTAGCAGTGACTTTCTTTTCCTCATAGTAATGATTTTTAAAAGTTGGGTAATATCTAAACACAAGCATATGTGATACTGCACAAAGAAATGAGACATATCAGTTTTAAAATCACTGATTTAAAAATATTGTCCTTCTGCTTTCCAGGAAAATTATTTTTCAGTTGTCAGAGGTAACATGAGAAAGGAGGGAATTGTAGCTATACGAACTGTGGGGCTGAGAGGCAGAAGAGCTGGAAAGGGGACCATAGAGTCTAGCCATGAGAAAAGGGAGGGTGTGCCCTGCTGTGGGATAAGGGGAAAGACTGAGAGACCTGCAGTGTAAAGAAAAGAAGATTAAAAAGACTAGGAAAGTGGATGAAATAGGATAGACATTTAGAGATGTAAAAATAAAAAAAATATTTTAAAGATTAGGAAAGTAGCATTAAAAACGAATAAACAAAGTAAGATGTTGTGCACACTTCGGTACTAAGGTGGATACAAGGAGTAGGCAGGGGTTCATTAGTTTTGCAGAGGCCTGGACAGGAACACTTTTCTCATTCTTATTGCTTTGATTTCTGTAGACACAAGTGCTTAATCAATTTTTTTTAAACATATCCCCAGTGAAGCAAAAAAAAAAAAATCTCAACCAAAGTTTTGTCTCTATGTTTCAGGCACCTGTTCTTAGAGAGTAAAATGGGAAATATTCTGTTAATACTATGAAACTCATGAAACTGCCTTCATTAGAGTATGTATCTGATTCCACTTGGAATTAGCAAAGTTTAGGTGCCTTAGGTACCTTCCTTTGAGATTCCCATCCCAAGTGCTCCGAAGATAGTGAATATGATGAAGATGTGGTCCCAAAAGCCCCCAGACCCAATTCTCAGGGGATGGGCTAGGAGGTGGACCAGAACAAAGGCTACAGGGTGGACATACTTGGGA